CTATCGTTAAGGAAGAAATGCTTTCATTTATTTTATTAATTCGTAGACATGTCGGATGTCTGTGCGCTTGCATACACGCAACGCGTGTGGGGAGTTGTGAATACTGAAATCCTCGGGAGCACAATCACGGAGCATGACAGGTGTGGGGAAAAAGGGTCAGAAAGAGGGTAAGGTTTTATAGGCCGCTCGCTTAAATGCCTCGGCATCCCAAAGCACCTTGCATTACATCTCAACCGTTCCCTTGCCCTGTGGCAGGATAGCCTAGCCGAGTAGGCCCTGCACCTCCTATTAGCACGGTTGGCTACGTGCGGTGCGGAATAATTAATATTCATACGTACTATGGAAAATAAGAATAGTTTGCACCCTTTTATTTCCCTGTACAAGAATACGTATGGGTTGACAGGTACGCGAGCAGAGCGCGCAGCATGTGGAAGAACGACGCGCAAATACGGAATCCGTTTGAGACGCGACGTTCCAGGAGCACGGCGAGAGCGAGCCAGTGCGAATCAAAGATGAACAAAAAGGTTGTCGTATCCATGATAGAGGTTTTTGGGTTAGATCGTGCAAATATATAAATGTGTCGTTAAAACCCGCCACCACCCGGCACGACCAACTAGTAAGGGTTGTCACGTAAACAGAACGTGGCCAATTCGTCACTAGTACAGCACACCGGTTGTGTGTTGGAGAGCCAAGCCACAAGATTTACAATCTGAGTACGACGTTTCGCCAGTAATTACAACCAGCTTCATCAGACGACAGCCAGATTTGTGGAGAAGTCCACCTGTTTCGTTCCTTATATCGAGGCGTAGATGTGGTGACCACGCTTATGCAATTTTGCACAATGTGGGGGGGGGGGGGGGAATTACTGAGGCAACGCACATTATGCAATTAGGGCGGTTTGGCTATGTACAGCGCAAAAGAAGTTCAACGTACATACATAGTTTGGTGCCCTTCCCCCGCACCTCCGATTATCACGGTTGGCTATGTATGGCGCGAAAGAAGTTCAACTTACGACGGAGTTTTATCTCCCACAGAAATTGCCTGTGAAGTCTAACGAGAAGGAAGGTCTCGTATACACGGTGCACCGTACAAGGGTCAGCTGGAGGAATGATGGCGATGATTCTGACGTGGAAAATGTGAGGCGATATAGAGAAACACTGTGAGCCGTTGGGATGGAACCTGTCGTGAGAGATACTCATGGCTGGAAACAGTGGGTGATATGTACCCATGTTCAATCTCTTATGAATGAAAGTGTGGTTATTGGGTATTGTAGCGGTGCTCATAATGCAAGCGATGAATTGTGTGTGTAAAAAACAATTTACAATGCATCGTAATGATATGCCAAATCGGAGAACTATACAGTACAACTGCGAAACCCTACACAGTGATAAATTAGATTATCATTCCTATCACTGCTTGCATCCCGTGAAATTCCGGTGACATATGAATGCAAGGCTCGACGGTAAAGAATACTTTAGGTCAGCGTGACTTCATACATGCATAGTCTCTCATTGCCAAAGCACGCTGATCGCCCCTTGTGTTCGGTCGCAAATATGCCGTGTACACATGCCTGTGTGCCTGCATGCATGCGCGCGCAGTGTCCGCATCCTCTAGCGGCAACCTAATTTACACAGAGCAGCGTGTGCTCGCACGCTTCCTGTGCTACAAAAAGAGAATTTGTCCCTGGGCTGATATATTTCTCCTTGTGTCCTTGTAAGTGTCCAAACGGCCGAGCGAAGGGCCTTTCCCAGAAGTCCTGGCTCGCTCCAAACGGTCGCCCCTTTCGGGTCTAGAAATGAAGCCAGCCAGGGCTTTAGAAACGTTCCACATGTTTTGGAGGTTGATGAATGCACGGCGTATGCAGTTGCTATTTATATTTTGTTCAGCTTCTGTGTGTATATGTATTTGAACGTGTATTGAACGTCTTTTGCACCGTACATAGCTAACCGTGCTAATCGGAGGTGCAGGGAAGGACAAGAGGAGACTAGCAGGGCCTCTCGCTTGCCACTGCTAACGTGCAGATCCGCCTTGGGATCGCCAATGATAATCGGTGGCAGATCCGATCATCTGTATCCAATTACTGGGTATGTAATTTAACATCGATGACAATAATGATCCACGTGGTAGGTTTATGCAAACCTTCTCATCATTAACTCCCCACCACCAAACAAAGCTGTCACATTCACAAGGATGATGTTTATCCGCGCTGATGTATCGATCAAATTCTGACCAACGAAGCCCCCTCCTCACCATTGGATTAAAACTTTTTGTCACTGAATCGAACTTCAACATGCGACGGCGTTTCGCTCGAACGCATTGGGCTTCGTGAGGGGGTGCTGAGCTGGGAAATCGAGTGGAGAAAGCGAAGATGATAACGTACATAGCCGTTTGTCAATCCGCTGCTGGACGATGGCCACCCCACCCCTCTTTCTCACGGGTGTTGTTTGACCATACTTCACCACGCCGGAGAGTGCGGGTTGGTGAAGTGGCGGGCACCAGCACTGGTGCAGATGTCAGCAGTGGCTGGGTCCATAGTGCAGTGCGCTAACCCTTTTGCAACTGATCCACCCCAATAATTATTAACATTTGTATTACACATTTTACGACCAGATGACTTGATCACCTGCAATGTGCGTGCTAATTCATTGCGCGACATCTCGATGAACATTATAATTATCATTTTTAAGTAGCGACCCTCTACGCACGGTACATATTGACGGAAACCGGAACACGCGCAAGGGAGCAGCACTCTACCCCTGTATAGATGTAACGAGATGGCGATCAGTCCACTCGCTGTACTGCCTCCTGCTAGCCCCAGGGTACGGCACCTCGATGCCCACGGGAAGGGAGTTTCACAATACTTGTTCCATCCACCAGCCCTCGCTGCTTTTACAGTGCTGTATTACAGGTCACGTGCATAGCCACCATCAAGAAAAAACCTAAGAATATAGCCGCCACCGCCCGGCAATTATTGTTTTACTTTCAGCATTACTGGAGTCACGCTGGACTTGCAATCCAGAGGTCACTTTAAATCACAGTCGATATTATGTTTTTAATTTTGTGTCTGTTCCCTAATCTACGTTTTTTTCTTTCAGTCACTGCGTATGATTAGTGTATTTGAGCTTTGATTTTGTTTTTAAATGTCCATATCTCTCTATCGTGTCGTTATACCGGGCAATGCAAATTGACTGAAAAGGCTTTTTTTCAAGCACATAGTTACGTTGTTTATCAAGATGAAATGAAGTAAATACAGAATACACGTTCGTTACTGAACTTTGCGCGTATATTATCAAACACGTATATTTTTTTCTACCATGTTGTAATCGTTAGCACACAAAGTGGTGGCCGGTTTGATTAGTCTGACCTGTGTGGCAGTTAAAGGAATGGTGCAAACTTCTTAAATCGGCCACCTCTGTCCACCCAGCAATGTTAATGAGCACCACCACAGTTGGTCAATCGGCAGTTCGCATGCATTGGGATAAAGTGTGGGTACCACCACCTCTTCCAGCGAGGAAGAATAGGCCAAAGATGCCCTCTTAGAGGGGCTCTCTTGAGCCCCCAGCAGTGGCGTGAGCGATCATTTGCAGGGCTGCACCATGCAGTGCATGCTGGGAGTCTAGCATGCTGTTCTCACCGTCCGCTAAAGGGCCGCGTGGGCGGAGGCACGAGCGAGCTTGGATTCTCAAAACGCCGACAGCCTCGCTTCGAAGGAGCCTGCTATGTTTCAGCCGAGCGTGCTACACCAAAGGGCGCAGATGGGTCATCTTTCATCTCACTTAATCACAAACAGCCCCTTGGCCCTTGCTATAGCCCTTGGGGATAAAAATATCATTAGACTTAGAGATGCCGAGGCTGGGGAGGGTGGGTGGGGGCAACTAGAGACGTGGGTGTTGATCGCACGAGGGAGGAGGGCAGATCTTTCACAGCTTCGACGGAAAGGAGGTAAAGTCGGTTGTGGGGGCGTCGGGCCAAAGTGGAGGTCTTGTCGTATTTCACGTACGTGGGAATTGCCGTTTTCTTTCATTTATTATTTTGGTGTGTGTGTTTTTTTTGTTAACACAGAGGCCACTGTGAAAGGCAGATGGGGCGTTTCTTGTCAACGATTTGTGGCCGGGAGCACCGTCTGACCGAGACAGCCGCCTCCTTGGATCCCTTTTACGTTTTCTTTTCGAGCGAACTTCTCTCGTCCGTTGCTTGCCGCAGAAGCGCGGAGCTCGCGGCTGCCGTGGGCCGGGCCCCCCGTTTTATTGCCGTGCTCCCCCGCGGAGTTTCCCCGCAATGCTAATTGCCCTCGGCGATCAAGCGCCCGTCTCGTAGCAGCCCGGTGGAGCAAGGCTCGTGAAAACAGATGTACAAAGCCGTGCGCGCGGTCTCCGTTATGCCCTGGGTGAAGCCCGCTGCTCGCGAGCCACGCGTTTAAAACGCCAGCGCCCACGTGGTGGCTCTTGTGTTGTTGTTTGTATTTGTCAGTGGTTTGGAACCTGCGACTGAGGATGACCGGCACCCGCTTGACAAGCGCATCCTGTCGAGTGCCGCTGCTCTTTTCGGAATACCGTGACCTTGACCTGTGACCTTGACTTATGGCTTTTTGACTCGGCGTATTATCACGAGTGTGAGATGCACTTCCGTAACAGGTTATTTTCAAGAGAGGCCTACATTAGTGAGTGTGTTTGGCATGTGAGAGCAAATTGGAGTACATGCATTAAAGCTGCTTATACAACCTGATAAAACTTTCATCCCTGCACCGATTGATTCAATAATCTATTGTTTCTATTCATGACGGTGCCACTGGTGCTCTTGCTGATTGTGCTATTAATTATTGTTGTATGTATGTATGTTGATCCTATTTCACACCGTACGTAGCCAACAACAGCTGTTGTTGATGGTTGTTGTTGGTGGCCTTGCCGAAGGTGGTGGTTATCATTGTTGATGATAGTTGTTGTGGCGGTAACCTTGCTCACAGAGCTGTTGTTGTTGTTTGTGGTCGTTGCTTTCACCAGGCATGTGCAGACACGGGACGCCTGCGCCTGGCCCAGGCGTGGCTCATGGGACCGGTGCTCACCGAGACACTGGTAGTCACGTGCCGGAGGCTGTGCCGGCCCGGACAGGGCAAGCAAGCGGCGAGCGGAGCAACGGCAGCAGCAGTAGTGTCGTTGTCTGCGGAGCAAGCCGACAGCTGGGCCCTGCTGTCTCTCGCGCTCTCTTCACACGCCGATGGCAGTGAGTGGCGCTGCACGCACTGCGGCAAACGCAGGAGGAAAGGCGGGTGCCTTTCCTCCCCGTTCTTAGCCTTGCTCCTAAGTCTGGGGCGCGTGGCGTCGGCGAGCACCTGTTAGGGCTGGCACGGTGCGCATTGCGCCTGGTACCTTGTGTGAAACACACAGCCGTCTTTGTCTCCTCCGTGCTGTTGCTGTCCACGATACCGCCGTATGGCTGTGATGTGACACCAGTATCGACTAGCAAGCTGGGAAATATTAAGTGAAAATCTTAAGTCTTGAGTCTATGAATCCATTTGCTACATCATGGCCAAGAATGAAAGCCAGATTGCCAAGCTCATAGCCGAATACACAAACAACCTGTGCCGTGTGCCAGTCTTAATAGGTGCTCGCTAATAACCCTTGCCTCAACTAGCGTCCCCAGGCTAAACAGTGCCCCTTCATTGTATTTGTTCTCACATATGCTTTACGTACACACACTTAATGCAACATAACAACTGTCGTTTCCCCACGCGCTAAAGTAATGCAGAGGGAACCCTAATTATGTAACCTTCTGTCTGCGACATAAAACAATACGGTCCGGTTGTTTGCAAGCGAGACGCTGAGTAGCCGTGTACAGTTCCAGATGCGATTCGCGAATAGCCCAAAATCGAGGATAGCAAATTTGTGAATAACGAGGGAATACTTTACATGCTCGCATCGCGTCCTTCCTGGAAGCACCAATGTCGGCTCAGGGTAAGCGTGAGCCAGTGGATTTACGGGCACTTTGCGGGCTAAAGCCGTCGCTCCCACTCTACGTATTGGGAACCAACAGGCCCGTTACTTAAACCCCCCCTCCCCAAATTGATGTGCGTACCAAAGTTTAGGAAACGTCACGGACGATTAACTTTCCTTTTGGACTCCTTGCCAAAACTTAATAATGTATTTATTTATTTTTGGTTACAGCCCAGAAGAGGCCTGGTCGGTGCGGCTTGAGTGGGCCCAACGTTCACATCAGATGTTACTTTGTTCACAAAGATTCCCAGAATTTTGGAGCGTTACAAAAAACACCCGCGTTGCCAAATTCTTCGTGGTCTCTCCACGCATACCGCATAGCCTCTGGCCTGTGGGATATAAAAGTGCTGCCCTCACTGCACTGATGACGCTGATTGGGTGAGATGCTCTATAATTTACCGTTTAATTCACGTGTGAATCACATTTGTCATTCTAGTCAGTTGCTTGAGGAGTAACTCTGCATACATCTAATTCCTACCCTCTCACACTTGGCGGTTCTCTCCAGGTGCTATTGTTTCTTCCCTTATGTAAAATATTCGCGAAGCAACCGCGCTATTGCGTTTTAGGGCCGTACCACGTGTTGTTTGACTCTCCAGGACGTCCGTGCGCGTCTAGTTTCTGAAGAAGCTTCCAACACGTAGAGCAAAATGTCGGACGTGTATGTACGTTTGTATGTTGAACTTCTTTCGCGCCGTACGTAGCCAGCCGTGCTGATCGGAGGTGCGGGGACACGGGCCGAACAAACGCACGGCACAGCCCGAAAACACATTGGAGGGCTATGCAGCACGGCCGCTGTAGCCTACGCAGTGATTCTCATTATTGTTGTAGCACAGCGACCGTCGCTTGCTGTGGCCATCCTGAAGGAGCCTTCCTTCCAGCCAGCTCGCCTACCCAGGAGAGCCGCTGGAACGAAACAAATCGCGAGCGGAGCGCGAGAGAGCGGCCGGTGGAGAAACAATCAGCGCAGTGTGTTCTCGCGTTCTCGCGGCGTGATCGCCCCGGCAGGTGGCCTGCACGGTTTTCGTTTCCTTCGCTGCGATCCTCCCACCTGGGGATGGCTTTCGCCTGCCCGCCTGTCCGCCACACCCCCCCCCCCATCCCCCCCTCCCCTACCCACCCCGGCACGGTGCCGAGGTTACGATGCGCCGCGGAATTTTGCAGTTCCATGCCTCCGAGGAGGATTAATGTTCGAGTGTGGCGGTGGAGAAAAGGAAGTTTATTCTTTCCGTTGTTGTTATTGAGCTATGATGGAGGCTCTATAATAAGGATGGGTGGAGGTTTTAATACAAAAACACGAGATTTAACTGCGAATAACTTTTTTTTACCACATTTTAAATAGGTCTCAGCCAGTGGTGGAAACTACACATTCTTATGGTGAGGTTGAGTCTCTCCAGAGCACAACCACCGTTGACTTCCCACACAGTGGGTATTCCTTTTATCCACCTAGCGGGGATGATGGGCCGAGTTATCCCCCAAGCCAGGATTTGAAATCCCAACGTTGCGATTGTGAAGCTGCTTGCTCCACACCACTGAACCTGCCTGTCCGGTCATCCTCACGCACCGAATGTTGTCAACAAACTCGATACAACTGCAGAGTTACGTAGCTGAGCAGCCGAGCGCGCAAAGTTGTTTTCCTCTTAAGCGTGACGGTCAATTCTTGTTTTCCTTTTAGTTTTTTTTTCCATTCCCCCCCCCCTCCCAACCGGTTCGGAGGAAGCGAGCCATCGAACGATCTGAAACAAAGGCCCCAGCACCGCCAGAGCTCTCGATTCGGTGTCGCCGGTTCCCCACCGCAAGCCGCAACGGTGGTGGGGGGGGGATTAATCGCCGAGATTGACGTGCCACCGTGCGGGCCCTTTTAGCACCAGTGCCCCGGCGGTCTATTCACAAATCAAAGCATTCCTGTTGCTACGGACATTGCTGGGGGATTTATGTTTCAGTAGCGCAGAATTATTATATTTGTAAAATGTGGCCTCGTAACAACAATGCCGCGTTTAAACGGGCCCTTTCTCCATCCTGCTTTGATGTGGCGAGATAAAAAAAAATCTAATAACACTGTTTAACTTTTACAAAGATGTGATTGACGGGCAAGCGAGAGGCAAGCGAGCGTATGTAGTGCTTACGGACACAAGACCCGCATCCTGAGCTTCCACTGTTCCATCAACGAGTCTCATCCTTCGAGGCACTTTATCTCGAGTGGCCCTACTCGGCCCGACAGCCGTAGTAACTACAGCAGCGGCAGCAGCACCCAGCGGAGAAGCCTCCGAAGGGGAATGCATCTCCAGGAGTCGTCCTGGAGATGCACCCGGCTCCAGGGGCGTGCCTTCGCCTCGACACGTGACCCCCTGACCTTTTAATCCGTGTATCGGAGCTGTCCTCATTCTGGAGCATCCCTCAACGTTTACGTTTTGTCAGCGTTCTGGAGATAAGATAACGTGTCCATGGAGATCGACCGAGAGCTCCATGGGCGGAAAACACGCACACGTGTGCGCAAATGTCGCGGGCTTGCGCGGTGCAAACTGCACGACGCCGCCTTCATCGTCTCCGGTTTCCTTGTCCGCTTTCCAATATTTTCCGTCACGGTGGCGGCCGTCGCTTACGGGCATCGGCCAGTCACGCTCGGGAGGGCACCTCGCGTTGCATCCCCGCGGCACGCTCTAACGGCCCCCTCCGTGTGGCGACGCATAACCCCTCCCCCCCCCTCCTCGACGTTCAACCCGTCCCCGTGCCACCGACGCCCGGATTGCAGATTGCGACTGTGAAGTGCACGGGCGCGCGATTTATTGCGCGGTTATCTTTACCCTGCCGCCAGGCGCGTTTGAACGCAGCTGTTGCCTTGTTTATACGTCTTACCTCGGGGGACGGTGTTTTTAGGGGTGGCGTCTGGCAGTGTCCACCGCCCCGCTCGTCTGATTAGTTTACTATGTCTTTTTTTTGTTCCCCCCCCCCCCCTCCCGTTTTACAATTCCCTGTACATCCCGTCGCGTAGCCCCTCGGGACGTTGATGTCGTGGGAATCGCGGAGTTATCTTGTCCCTGTCGCTATGCGCTCAGCGCGTAGCGCTCGCACGGCTGCCAACTGTGGGATGCGTGACACATGGGATGGGGGCTTTGGGGGGGGGGGTGGAGAACTGCGCCACGGCTCCTTCACACACGCGATCCCCCAGCGTTCACGATGAGATATTAAATTAACAAAACAAAAAATTACGCACTGAATTGGCACACCGCTGCAGTGGAACGATCCGTTCTTAGCTTTCGCACGCGAGCCGATGTCAGTGATCCATCCCTGCGGTGGACGAACGTCCAGGCGCCTTCCCTCCTTCGGCTGCCACTCCGTCGACAAGCGCGGCCACCGCCAATTGTCCCTTCTAGGGACACGTCCTGCCAAGCCCACTTTGGGTTCCTTGGCAGCCTGTCACTTGCGTACGCTTTCAAATCCAAGCGTTAAACGCCGCCTCACTACAGACACGGATGTATTAAAGGCTACCTTAAGGCAATGGGCCTTTTTTGCAAACATGTTAAATAGTGTTTATGTTATCGGGTGGTGTTATTGACGAATGTGGTTTTTAATGTCACAATAAGCTCGGGAGTTTCCCTGGCCGGCACCGTGCAAAGGGGAATGACGAGGCCATCGTCACTGGGAGGCCGACGTGGCCAGGTGGTACATCGGCCTTTGAACCGAACGACCCGTAGCACCCACACCGGATGGGGCAACCACCGCGTATTCAAAGCGGACGGTCGGAGAGAGAGAGAGAGAGCCCCGGCGACATGCGACTGTGGAAATCTTGACCACGACCGTAGGGAGACCGTAGGGGACCGCATCGCGACCCGCGGTTAAAGTCAGCGGAGGCGTTGTGAAGACATCTTCCGCTCGGCTTCCCCCGAGGCTGTGCTTACGGCCTGCACGTGATGGACTCATCAGTTTCTATAAAAAGCCACACACAAGAAGAATACGTCTGGAATTGGCAGTGCTGAGATCCTGGCTTCGAACCCAATTTGGTTTTGCACTTAATTTGACCCTTTTTCACTGCAAAAACTATTTTTTGGCCGACAGGTACAACCTACCCGCTCGCTCATCTCCACATCCAGGGAGCACGATGTGGAGATTGTGGTCAAATGTAACCAATGAAGAACTTGAAGCAAAGATCAAGAGGTCATCACGGCCAAAGTCGTTGATGCCACCTCGCCTCGTTGGCAACGCGTTCTACCCTGCGCCAGGTCCCGCAGCTACTGCTCAATCGACATCCGACCTCCAGGATCTGGCCTGACCTCCGTGATCTGAAGCAAAGTGTGATGTGATTTGTGGCGCTGCTGTCTTGCATTGCGGTGTGCCTGGATGATGATTGAACGTGGAACACTTGCGATAGAATTGGTGAAAAGAACATGAAATGTAACTGGAAAAATATTTGCACTACTCCTTACAGCAGTGGACTATTGCGTGTCTTCTCTGTGACCCAGTTTACCAAATCAACACGGATTTCCTAAACCCATTCACACCTCGTCAAGAATTTTAGCTGCCGCAGAACCCCCTGGGGATTTAAAAATCAACGTTGACGTTTTGCAGTGAAATGCTCCTGATAAATACGTGTGGGATGTTGATGCAAACTTTTTTCTTATATATTTTTTTATCGTGAAGCCCTTGCGAGGAGAGAAGTAGAACGAGCGAGTGAAAGAAAAAAAAACACCACCTTGTAACGGCTTCTTCCCCTCGGCCTTCCTGTGCAAATGCTCACGTCGGGCAAACCGGCGCAATGTCCTAGCGTTCTGCGTGAAGCGTGGCAGGGAAAACAAGCGGCTTGACGTCGCGTGATTTATTGCGCGAACGGTCCCCGAAGGCGAAGCGGCTGTCTGCAAGACGGATCGCGCGCGGGGCCCCTCCCGAGTTCACGTCTGAGTTCTCGACGTGGCCGCTCGCGAGGCAGGAGTTGCGGGGCCTCCTCGGGTCGCGAGTTCGCGCGACCCCCCCTCCCCCCTCCACGCCGGGCGCTGTTCGGACGGGTCAGACCCGGCGCTGGAATGCGACGATCGTGCCGGGCCAGCGCCGCCTGCGTCGGCACACGTCGCTCGGGCACCTGCCGCTGAGCGCCGAAGAGGCCGCGTCTCGGGCAGGCCGGCTGAGGGACGGACCGTCATCATCTGACGGCAAGCAGGGCTGCGATTCTTTAGTTAGTTGTGCGTTACAGCAGATGCCTCCGTTGGAGGCACGCCTTCTCAGAGAGCGGGAAGCTATAACTCTGCAGTGCGTGATCCAGCGGCGGTCCTCTTGGCCAGTTGCTTACTGAGTATATTTTGTTTCATGTGGCAGGAAGCCTACAACCAAATCGCACAATGCGCCACTTCTCATGAGATCTGGGAAGCGAAGCTGGCTTGAGCCTCCATAGCGCTGAGCAGGGTGACTACCATGCATCACAGGTGTCATAGCTGGCTGCGAGTCTCCGCTGTGGACAGCGGAGAGCAGCGCGGAAAAATCCTTTGCTCCATTGTACTTCTACGCTCCGGTGTCTGTGCTCCCCGCCCTCGGCATCCACCATTGAGCAGTGTGATGAAGTACGGTTCAACAACTCGTCATTGACACGCCGTGACGAGGCTGTTGTTCCACGGGAGATTGACAGCAAGCGATTCATAGTCACATGCGTCTCTGTGTGTATTTATACACGTGTGTTCATTATACCGTGAATGTATGTGTTTGTTTATGCGTGCGTGTGGCTTAATTTCAGCTGGGTCTGCCTGGGTCAGAAAGCAGAAAATATTTCCACCCCTGAACATCGTGTCCACTTCGTTGAGCTATCAATTCTAGCCAGGTCGCTTCTGTAAAATAAGCTAATAGCTCATTGGGCTTTACCTGGGTATAATACAATAGTTTAGTTTATTTATATATATTTGAGCGATTTACTTACCTTTTCTATACTTTGCACTCCCATCTTGTTTTTGTATTGTCGTTGTAACGCTCTGACCTGCCCCTACTGGACATCTGTGACAAAGCGCTTTATAGCTCATGGGATTCCTCCAGCATAAATAAACATTGTGATTCTGAATAGCTGCCCGTGGCTACTCGTCTACCAGTGACCCGGAATAAATATCTGCATGAAAACGAAGCCCGGTGTGTATTCACACACAGCTGCACGTGCGCGTGCGTGCGTTCACGTGGGTGTGTCCGCCGTGCGTGCGTCTTCAACTATACACTATTCAACTCTGATTCATTTCTAATTTTACCAGGTAAGGCCCGCTGAGCTATATAGCGCTTTTTCAGATGCAACTTGGCCATGAATGATACCTCAGCGAAGTGGCTTTTCACGTGTAAATTTCTATCAGCCAAAGACTCTTAATACGCACGCTTCTAAATGTGGAGGGAAAAATCCGGAGGACCCGGAGAAGAATCCACGCGACCACAGGGAGAGAGACGCGCAAGCTCCAATGGGCGTCGGGGGGGGGGGGGGGGGGGGTCGGGATCGAACGCACGACCTCCCGTACACAAGGCGAGGTCGTTAACATCTCCCCGTCGCGCGCACGCGCGCGCCTTGTGTCCCGCAGAGCCGCTGCTGCCCGCCGAGTGCGTGCGCCGCGTGGTGTCGGCGATGCGCGCGGCGCTCCCGCGCTGCGGCGTGGACGGCGCCCCAACACGCGCCGAGCCGTGCGTGTCGCTCGTGTGCGACGTCGCCTGCAGCTTCTTCGGCGCCAGGCATGGCGGAGCGGCGCTCGCGGCCGCAGAGGACCTCATCTCCGCCATCTTCCGCCTCGCGTGCCAGAGCAGGGAGAAGGATGCGTTCACAGGCGAGTGATTGAAACCCCCCCCCCCCACTTCCTTGTCTGCCTGTCGTCTGCCTGTTGTCTGCCTGTCTCGCACTGCTCGCCTCCATGTGGATCCACTGACACTGCCTGAGAGCCCCTCGAGAGTGGTAACCAGCCGGAGCAGTGTCGGTGACCACCTATGAAAAACATATTTTAGTTCAGTAAACACAAGTTTTATTAATATTTACTTTTTCACGTTTCGGGACCGCCACCCGGCGGGGATGCTTCTCCACCTGCCTCTTGGCGGTGTCAATTTGAAATCCACCGTCACAGGTGACAGATTTACCAATGCCTGCCTGTCTCAAGCTCCTCGCCATTGTGTATATCGGCCGTGTGAATTTCAAATCCCACTTTCACAGGTGAGTTCGCGACTCCTTTTCTGGCACCCGGGCTCTTCTCACACCTCTGTGTGTGCGTTGCACTTTTTACTTCATTGGAAAAACCAATGGCAACATCGCCTCCCAACTTCTGTGTTCGCCTTGTGCTGCACAGGGACAGCTGCCAGTAGGGGCGTCTCCTTGGCTAAAAACCTGCGCTCCGATACTTGTTTTACGTTACAGGGCGCAACATAAATGCCGTTTGTTTTGCTAGTTACTTTTACGTACAGATGTAGTGATGCCCTATACCACAAGGTATTCACAATATCAGCAACTGGATTGATAGTTGTTTACACGTAGGTTATTCACAGCGGCTCGGGATCCAAGTGTGGACGTGCGGTTGGGGCTGCGTATTGAGCGTACCTTCTCTCCTCTTCGTCCTCCTCGCACAGGAACCATTCCAGTTGTCTTATCTCGCTGGATGGTAACCTCCCCAGAGAGGGATATCGATTCAACACAGCCACCAGTAGCAATCCAAGGGTTTTCTACCACGTAGCCAAACCTTGAAGACCACACTTGCACCGATTGGCAGTGCCCGCATTGCAATACATTCATTGCTCAGTGTAGCCAATGGCAATTGCTTCATGCAAAGCGTCGCTCATGCCAGCAACGTGATCACAGCTTACAATTTTTCGCCGACGAAACGGTCACGTACATGCGCAAGCCCTTATGTCTGTGTCCACTGCTGGTTGAGGGGGCTCCCCTACGGCGTGTGGGTCTTGGCGGGTTGTTTAACCGTGCTTCACCATACTAGTCGGTACAACTTGATGAAGGCAGCCAGCGGTGGTGGAGGGGGGCGGGGCACATCTGGCTCAGATACCACTGATGTTAGCCGTGGTCTGGGATCAAGCAGCGCGGTTGCTTAGTCCAGCGTGCTAATCACTTTGTCACCGCTCTCCTACGGCAATGCAGACATTTATTTGAAACATAAACGGGGAATAATCTTTTTGTGAAAACAAATGACTCCATATTTTGTCTGGCTATCGTTGAAGGAAGAAATCCCAAGACGCGCTTTAATTTATCATGTGCGTACGTAGATGTGTTTGGATGTGCGCGTACACGCAATACGTGTGGGAAAATGTGAATGCCCTGGGAGCACAATCAGTGAACATGCGAGTGCGGGTTCGCCGAAGGCGTAGAGGCAAAGGCATGGGTGCGTGGAAGTGCAGGACAATGAAATCCCTTGCCCAAATCCGTGATCCGCAAAAACTCTAAAGGCATTTGGGAAAAATATGGTTTGGTTCCAGCTTCGTAATACGACACCCCACCCCCCTCTTGTTTTATATCACCCTACATGAACACTGCTTATTCAACGGTTGTGCTGTGCACGATTACCTCGTACCTCGTACATACTGTCTCGTTCATTCTCGTAGACGACTAACGGTGCAGTGGCACATTCATACAATAATGTCGCATGTGGATAAGGCGACTATCGTGCACAGCAGGTGTTATAGGCTGCGGGGCTAGTGCGGTGTGCAACAGCAAAACTTGTTTGTTGGAGTGCGGAATTCCCGCCTATCGGCTAGGGCCGACACCGGAGGCAATTACTGGCCTGCCACTCACTCGAGCGTGAAGTGTGCGAGTTGACCATTACGACGGCAATGGTGACATTATTTTTGCTCAATGTTCACTTCCGCACCAGTAGCAAGCGGTTTGCTGGTAGATTTGACAAGACCGATAAGTCGATCGTGGCTGACAGACAGCCGTTGGTCGCTTTGATTGAACTTTCCAGATCAGACCAACCGCCGGCATGCTCTACCTCTAAGCCGTTAAAAATTAAATCACGTCGTCTCAGTACACCCCACTCTAAATATATTTGTTATCTTTAAAACGAAGATAAAAAGAGCACATGAAAGGGTGAGAGCACCCGATGCACGAAGCCCCCATGCCTTCAAAGGAGGGTGCTGACGGAGCGATGGGCCGTGGTTGCCTTATGTCGTGACGCCTCCCGCAGCGCTGGCGATCAGCGGAGAGGAATCGTTGGGTTCGTTTCAAAAGTGCCGGCCGACCGACAACTCGCCGTTTTGTGCCCTGGTAGCCCCCCCCCCTCCCCCCCTTCGATGCTGCGGGCAAGTTTTGTCACGGCCGGAGGGTTGCGCTCCGCTCGAATTACGCTACCCGTCTAGCGAGCGAAATGGTCGGTGCCGGTTAAAATAACACTACTTGCTAGGTCAGGCCACTCGCCCCCTTCTCTCGCACAGTGGCGGTGCTCGGCATAAGTGTGGGGCCCCCAAAAATCCGATGAGCTATAAAGCACTTGACAGATGTTCAGTAGGGGCAGGTCAGACCGTTACAAGCAACAAAATAAAAATATAATTGGAGTAAAAAGTATAGGAAAGGTAAACAAATCAGTTAAAAAATATCCAAATAAAACTAAACCATTTTTATCTTACCAGCTAAAGCCCATCGAGCTATTAAGTTTCTTTTTTCAGAAGCGACCTGGCTACATATGGTAGCTCAAACAAATGGCTTATGTGGAAATGTATAGCAGAAAAATAATCGAAATAATTATTCAAGCGACCTTGGATGCATTATGTTAATAGGGATACCCCAAATCTGACTCATAACACTGTAAACATAATATGACTCGTAATTTGTGTCTTAAATAAATTATTTCACACGACTGTGATTTAATTGAGCTGGGTGGCTTGACCATCGCAATGTTTGGAGCCACGTGACGCACCCAGAAATAATTTCTGCTAAAGGCCCAAAATAGATTGCCACCACCAACCACAGCTCCCACAGGTGCCACCTTCACACCTCACCTCGTTTAACTTCTGCCAGATCTAATGAACGTGGCACAGTTGACAACTGTACTGACCTCCAAGATCTGCTCTTACAAGCTCATCACTATCGGGCTGATGGTCATCCTGTGTTGTCTCCAGCCTCTGGGTGCCTCTTCAATTCCCTGTTCTGTATGTCCCCCACTACTCGTCACAACTTTTACTCCCTGATTACATTTATAAAACTTTGCTCCGACATCATCAAACTTTACTCGCACTCTTCTGCCATTCAACTTCTATCATCCTCTGCATACTCGTGCATTTAAAAACTAGAAACATTTAAAGCTGCTCTGTTAAACAACAAGGTATACAAGCTGGGCATATTTTATACAGAGAAAGAGGCAGTCCTATGCTGAGAGAAAAATTCAGGTCTTGAAGCCTCGATTTTAATAGAAGCAGGGAGTCAACAGCACGGATGACTGATGGAAGGGAGTCCTAAACAATCGCCGCAGAGGAACCTCCCACGGAGCGAAGGTTGACTGGGGACTTTAAACCCCAAATTTCTATTGTCGGACACTTTATGACCTTTGGCTGCACCAGGCCACAGTCAATAATATCCATTGAGCCATAAAATATCATCTTTGTTACTGGGCCTTAACACGAAGCATACTTTGCAAGGGCAGCACTATTTCTAAATACAGTTCCATTACTTATTTACTGCTTTGTTTACGTAACTTTGCTTAACCGAGATAATCTACCCTAGTAGTGTACATTCATTGTTGGGGCAATGGGGTCATTTATCGTTGCACACTGCTCGTTGGTATTCCTCATTGGTATTTCCCATGATGCCCCTTGGCTCGCACATGTTTCACCTTGTCACGTAGCATCGGAACGAATCCAATGAGCGTACCCTACCCAGCTGGCATCACAGGCGTGCGCGTGGTGTTAGTTTTTTTGCGCCGTTTAATTACGTAAAAATTGCACCGCCCGCCCGTTAGCGATTACAATTTGTCGGGCACCACTCGGCCCTCGGGTTTGAGATAAACGCAAATCGCTGGAGATCTGCACTGGTGAATGTATCACTGTGTACGTGCATTAAGAGAAAAAAAATGTCAATTTTGCCAGCGAACGTGGTGTGTGTGCGTGTTAAATGTAAAAGGTGGAATGCTTTTATCGTTTTTTTTGGGTGGACTTACGACTGTTGGAGAAATGCAAATAGTTTCAGATTTTGATTTTTATCGTGAGTGCTGTCTTCAAAGCTATTAAAATTGCTTAACCAACTACATCTTAAAAACAACAGAGACAAAGATCCCCTGCACTGCCTTAACAAACTTCTGGGGCAAGTGCTGTTAGCGAGCACGCGCTCACACACGCAGACAGCCGCGCGTAATGTACTCGTCAGCGCAGTGCTCGTAGGCTTGCGGAAACATTTATACAAGCCCGGCACTTAAAAAATAATCTTAGCAATAATATTTATTCAATTACAGACTCGGGGTCGGGCTGTCACGAGAGATGTTGCCGTAGAAGATTGAGAGATGAAAGCCGCACTGAAAGTGGGCACTCGCCGATGTGATGGCGAAGGGAAAACGTGCGACACTCGCTTTGACACTGGAATGCTGTATTTTGTTTAGTGTAATGAGCTCTGTATTTACATTCATACATTTCTCAGGATTTTGGAGCCTTATGTATATATATTTATTCAAAACCTTTTGACTGCCACTCGTGTACGTATACGTGTGTATACTTGCACAATGTACACAATGTACAATGCATATATGTACGTATGTTGAACTTCCTTCACACCGTACTTAAACAACCGTGCTAATCCGAGGTGTTGGGGAAGGACAATAAACTAATATGTGTACTATATACACGCACACAA